ACTACAGTGGATAGCAATTTTACAAATCCGTATGAACATTGTTATGAATTACATTATGTACAACATCCATGAGGTCACGCCGCAATTCAAGAACGCACAACTAAATCTTTAGTAATTATATGAATGTAGTATTGTCTTTGATTAACATAACTTTTATTCATTTAATAAAACACTATTTTGACCGGATTGAAGTTATGTATTATTATAAATTTACAACTATTTAACATAATTTTAAATTTCACGTGGTCACGGTGACTGTGTGACAGTCACCGTGACCACGCACGCTGTAAAGCACGCGAAACGTCGGATAAATTTAAAATTATGTTAAATAGTTGTAAATTTATAATAATACATAACTTCAATCCGGTCCAAATAGTGTTTTATTAAATTATGAATTTTTTACACTTAAAGGGAAGGAAACGCAATAGACAAACAGATATCTGCGTCTGTGTCCTTTTTAATAGGCTCTCTTAAGCATTTTATTAATTCACGAGGGGACGCTACGAAGCGATCTCTTCCAGGCAACCCTAATTTAAAAAAATAGTAAAATAGAGTTGTTAAGATCTGCAAGACTGCGAAAAAATCATAATAAAATAATCAATCAAAAAACATATTTCTGTTTTTATTCTGGGACATCGATTAAGGTGGATTACCACTTAAACTAAATACGAAAATGGTTTACAACATACTGTTAATCAATCATTAGGATAAATATTAATTTACAAGAATCATATTCAATTCTTCAATAAAATACCTATAACCTAACATATAATAAAAAATAAAAATCGATTTAGCCTACATTCAGTACTGGAAACAACATTATACATATATTTAGTCAAAGAAAACTACTTGACTGTGGTAAATTAAAGCACTATTATGTTCGACAACAAGTAGATAACAGACGATGTCATTGACAATTCCATTTTTAAAATGTGTCAATAGTCACATACGGTGTACAATGACTGTTCATAAGATATGCTCATTTGTGAGGCAAGGTCATCGCTATTTAAAGCTGTGTCTAATGATTTTTATAGAAAAAACGGTCCTTGTTTGTGCAAAGAAGCGAAATAACGTATACGGCGTATCATAAATATGCGTTGAAACAAGAACTCCTCCTTTTGTGGAGACTATATGAGATCATAGACGCCACAGTGTACTGAACTTTTGTAGTAACCAACTAGGTTTATTTTTTACCAGAGGCATTTACTATGGAGAGTGAACACTCTAGAGGAGAAAAGCTGTTCGGATTAATACCTGCAGCTTCATCATGGATCGTCGAGGCATATGAAATTCCACCCGTATCACCTCGACGTCCGTCGTTCCACAACTGAGCTTTTTAAGGCAGTTTTTAGCCACGCACTATGTGGAATCAGCTGGCCACTGAAGTAATTCCGGAACAATTCGACTTATGGTCCTTCAAAAAAAACGTACTGAACCTTATAAGCACGCAATGTCAATTGGCTTAACACTTAACAGCACTTAACATCAGATGAACCTCCTGTTCATGTGTTTTCTGAATAATAAAAGTCTGGACTTCAAGGAAATCACTTTGTTATATAAATGAAATGAGCTGTATGCTTAAAGCTAACCTTTCCTTCCTTCCAGCTGCCCACTGAAGTATTTCCGAACCGATTAGACTTAAAGAAAAGAGCGTACCAATTCTTAAAAGGCTGGCAATACTTGCGAGCCTTTTGGCAATGTGAGTAGTGTATTACTTAACATCAGATGAGCCTCCTGCCCGTTAGCTTCCTATTACATAAAAAAAGTATATCCACACGGACAAGGTGACGTGGCCTCAACAATAGTGGATGGCATACTGACAAATTGAATCACTGCGAAATTCATTAACATTGACCTATATACTGTGGTAAAATTTTCAATACACAGAGAGAGATAAAGAGGCCTGTACATTACAAATTGTGTTTAATTAAACCCATGACTTCTTAATAAGGCACAGTATAATGATACTATTATAAATATGGTTTTGTGGAATTATCCGAATATTAAAAATTGTCATAAACTATATGTTGTGTAACGAGCAGAGTTGGCCTAGTGGCTTCAGCGTGCGACTCTCATACCGGAGGTCGTAGGGTCGATCCCCGGCGTACACCAATGGACTTTCTTTCTATGTGCGCATTTAACATTCGCTGGAACGTTGAAGGGACACATTGTGAGGCAATCGGCTTGCCATAGACCCAAAAAGTGGACGGCGTGTGTCAGGCACTGGAGGCTGATCACCTACTTGTCTAATATATTTAAAAATGATCATGAAACAGATTCAAAAATCTGAGGCCTAAAGAGGTTGTAGCGCCACTGATTTATTTATTTTTGTATATGTTTGTGTCAGTATGTGACCACAATGTATCTACATAATAATTTAGTTATCTGCTGTATTGTTTTTATGACACCATGCGCCTATTTTTTTTAGTATAGTAGTTTTTTTCACATATAATGTATACAATCAAATCAATGTGTACAAAATATTGTAAAAACTATTTTAAAAGAGTAGGTAAGTATGGAATTTCTTGCCCATTCTTCTCCATATGAAACCTTTGGAAGGGGCAACTAGAGTAATTTTGTTTTAATACTTAAATTATGACTTTCGAAAGTGCCTTTTTAATAGGCCGAATTGCAATAAATAACTTTGACTTTTATATTAGTACCCGTAGATTTGCCCGCCTGAATTTTGTGCAATATTCAGGAAAAATATATAACATACAACATCGCACAGTTAACTTTGGTTTTATAAGTTTAATTCTAGTACACAATAAAGTTATTACTAAATATTTATTCATAAAAATAAAACTTATAAGTGAACTAAAATACTGTATCTAGAGACTGGTTTTAGACAAAACAGTGATGGCCTTGTTGCTTCTGCGTGTGACTCAACCCAGAGGTAGTAGGTTCAATCCCCGCTTGTCATTGGACATTCAGAACTCGCATGTACGGGGTAAACTTAGTGAGGTAATCATATCTTAGACCTAAAAAGTCGTGTATCAGGCTGTTCGCTACTTGCTTATTAGAAAATACAAATGATCAGGAAATAGATACAGAAATCTGAGGCCCAGACCTAAAAGGTACGCCACTTGTTATTTTTTAATAATAATAATTGGGACAATAAATTCCTGGACATGGTAAAGTCTCCGTTAGGTGCGCATGGGCTTACATTTCAATTATCAATTTGCTACTCTCAGTACGATCACTCACAATATTCCGGTCACTCACCTGCGCGCGCAGGTTTCTTGCTACGTAATATAGTCCTTAAATAGAATTAAGTAATATGGTCTGACCGTATATAGTATGTTGGTAATATCGATAAAAACCTGGGTTGAACTGGTGAAAAAAAACACGTTCCCTTACAAATAACGTGGAGACAAAAATCTCAAAAACTATTAATCCATTTGATGAAACTCTGTTTATTTATTTATTAAAGTTCACCACATCGTATAAGTTACAAGTTGTAATTTCTAAAATATATGACATTTATGGTAATCATACATTTTACAAAAAAAATAATAAAAATATTACACTTCCAGTTTTAGATTTTAAAAGCAAAAAAGTACTAGTAAAACAGCAAATTAGGTATCAGAAAACAAAGGCACTTAACAAAGCATTTTTTTATATTATTATGGAATATTAATCCATACTGGAATGGATAAATAAAATAACAAGTATTATCTAATCCCATCAATAACACAGCTCAAAACCCCCCATTTTTAAGTCGTTTTATAAATGTTTCGTTCCCCAGAGCTGATATCACCATCGCGAGCAACTACTAAGTTTTTGAAATTTATTTTTGTTATACATTTATCAATCACCGCAAATCAGTTTTACAACTTCCTTCGCTATTTACGTCATGTATTGCATAATCTAATGTTATTTACAAATGTGCCCAATTATTAATTGTTAAAAAAACACGCCAAGAATTCTTCATAATTTCTTTAATATTTCTATATATCTGAAATTCTCGTGTCACAATGTTCGCTCCCATACTCCTCCGAAACGGCTCGACCGATTCTTATGAAAATTTTTATGCATATTCAGTAAGTCTGAGAATCGGCTACTATCTATCTTTCAAACCCTTAAGTGATAAGGGGTGTCCACCCCAAACAATTTTTTTTAATTTTTAGACAATATTTTTGTATTTATTTTTTTATGATACAACATACAGAAATACATACAACCTTTTTCACCCCTCTACAATCAACCCCTAATTTTTATTATAGTAGATAGTTATTTTTATTGAACTAAAAAAAAGTTTCCTAGAAACAATATCCATGGCAAAACAACGTTTGCCGGGTCAGCTAGTAACTTTATATAAACCACATTACAAGTAACTTTATTTTATATTTTCTCTGAAGTTTTTCATCTCATCTTACCTCCATTTTTCCTTTCGTTATTAATTTCTAGAGAATGTCATTGGATATTTGTGTTCTCAATTCAAATTTAAGTTAAAGTTTTCGTTAGGAATTATTATCACACCCTTGCCGACCAAACTTGCACATGTGGCCCGAGCTTTAAACAAAAACGGGTTAAGTTAGGTCCTTACTACTCTGCAGTGTTCCGTACTTTTAACTTAAAACCCCATTTATCCAATTTATATTTTGACAAGGATTTCGTGAGATATCACTTTGATGTTATAGTAAATCCTTTTGGAATGGTGGCACGTTTTAGTCGACCGTCTCATATATCCATGAATTAGACTCTGCAAAATAAACTACATACGCTATCAATTTACACATATTTTTTTCCTTGAAACTACATCAGCATATATGAATATAAATAGATAGTTAGTTATTAGTTATTAACGTATTCAACATGGAGTACTCCAATCTAACAAGTATATAAAATTGGACCAAGGATCACTAATTCGGTCGCACGCCCTTTGTTTACAAGTGACGCATGAGCCGAGTCCAATGCAATCTATAAACCGCGGAGTCGTTTACCTTCCGCGCGGCGAGACGGCCGCCATGTGCGTACATGCGTGAGCGCAGCGGCTCATGCGCCCGCCGCCGGCGCACACCATGCCGCGCTGCCTCGCGCCAGCCACGCTACTGCTGTGCGTCTGCGCCGCCGCCTGGCGTCCTACCACAGACTCTGTCGAGTTCCTTCCGCGCTCTCGGTCACCCCGCCACATCCACAGCAGGATTCACCATCTACACCTCCTCGGATGGCACCTCGAATTACAAGAAAATAGAGCGATCCGCTCCCCATACTACAACGAGTGCAAGTTCTATAAAGGACGGGTATTGTATGAAGAAGGATCTGCGGTTACTGTGACCGAATGTGGGGGGCAGCTGTATGGTCTATTGCAAGTGAACGGTGAGGATTTTGTCCTCCAACCCACGAACCAACGCTCCGAGGGAAGCCATGTGTTGCGACGCCGTGATGTGTTGCTATCGGAGAGGCCCACTGCATACAACCTCACAGGAGATACGGTCATTGACCTTGACATAGACTTCGAGGATGACCCGCCGTCACCCACGATGCACGTGCGTCCGCGGCACAGTGACCACTTCGACGTTGAACATTTTCGAAATGTGCTTCCCGTATCGAGACCGGTCTCAGGTGTGTCCCCGTTGCGTGTTGTTCCATAAACGGTGTGCAAAAATGCATTGTTTCGTTTGTTGATTGTTCCAGGCGCAAAAGGTCTGTGGCTCGAATTGGCGATCGTGGCGGACCATACAATGGTCAAATTCCACGGGAGGGAACGGGTGAAACACTATATCCTCGCTATAATGAACATTGTAAGTACGTTGTGGATGGTTGCAATCAATTCTGTGGCCATGGGTCAGACTATGATAAATGCAATTTATTTACTTTACGGCAATTAAATTATTAAGAAATCTTGAATATATTATTAAAATATGAAACACTCTATGCATGAATGAATGTACTTATCATTGTCTGATCTATGACCACAGAATTATGAATTCAAAATTTCATCAACATCACCTTTTTTGATGGCATTTTCATTTGCGAACTAGCGTACTGTGGAATCGACTCCCGGAGGTCTTTCCTGAGAGATACGACCTCTAACTACTCAAAATTCGAGTGTACCTACTCCTCCCTCAAAGGCCGGCGACGCACCCACTAAAAATGGGTGTCTATGGGCTGCGATGACTGCCCTTCTTGGGCGTCCCACTCGTTTGCTCCCCTGTTATATAAAAAAAAAATCGAGTGCACTTTCAAACCATTATATAACGATTTCAGGTTAGCGCCATCTTTAACGACCACTCGCTGGAGTCGAACATGACTCTCGTTATCAACAAACTGTTTCTCTATGAGGAAAAGGATTCAGTAATAAAATATGGCAATGTTAAGAAGTCGCTTGAGGCAGTGAATAAATGGAATTATAGACATCTTATGAAACTGCCGGCAGGTACGTACGTTATTAAAACTTCTAAAAACAATATTTCGGCATGTTTAAAGGCATAATTTTAGCTTTTAATAATTTATGTTTTGTTATACGGTAATCATTTTATCATTCGCGAAACGTTCCGATATTTATTAGCTGTAAAATTTTATGTTTGCCATTATCGTATAAACAAGGGATCCAAAAATTGAATCTTACTTTTCATAACACAAATAGAAAATATATTTAGAGTAAGAAGCACATAATTTTTACACTAAAATATGAAGCTATAAACTTTGCCACAACAAAGTATTTTTATGAACAGTTTATGCAAAGTTATATGATCTATAAATCATAATTAGTTAACTCATAGAAATGTCGGCATTTGTCTGGAGTATTTTAAAATAACGAAGCGAAACCCATGTTCTTCCTCATATTAATAACTTTTGGTATAGAATTTTTTTTATTAAAATTTTTTTAGGAAGATTAAAATGTTATTTAATAGACAAAAACAATTGCCTATGTGTATGTAATCTAACCATTTACAAACATTATAATATAACATTTATTACCCACACGAATAAACAGTATTTAAAATATTCTTAACCTGCATAGTAATAATCATAATTCAAAATTGATGAGTAGAACATTAAAACAAATTTAAAAAGTTTTTTCCCTGTGGCAGTGTACCTTTAATGCTGGCAGCATTTCCTGGCTGTATTGCGATACTTATTCGTTGAAACATAAGCATTACCTTAAAAATACTCGAAAGAACATACACCTAAAACCTACTTGCTAATGATTATTAATTGACAAATTAACACTATGCTCTATTTCGAACAAAAAACTCCATCCATTCACGCCAAGCAACAGAATATATGCGGCGTAAAGCTGGGCGGATCTACAGTTAATATCTTTATATAATTGAAATGTTTCTCAAAGATCAAAGACATTATGATATCGACGTAGGAAAGCATTTTGCTGTAGTAGACAAAATACCTAAAGTGACTTTTTCCTGCCATTAGAATCAGAAAAAAAGCCATCAATGACCTGGGTCCTGTGTCTCTACGATGAAAAAAATTACATACGCCGTTGAAAACGCCCGTACTTATATTATTTTTAGCAAGATTAAATGCTGTATGTAGACAAAATCTAGTCATTTCAGACATTTTGACAACAAAAGAAAATCTGCATTTTTTTCTTTACAAATACTTACTTCTTCCCATTTAAAAACTTAACGCTACTTACAGCATTTCAGCGGCGTGTGATTTTTACATTCGTTTACTTACAGAAGTTTAGGGAACCTACAGTTTTGGTTTTTTTACCATTTACGACATTTTATTTCAACAAACATTACATTACCAAATGACCCACTGCATTTCTAGATCTAATATAATTATAAACTAATCTTACATCTTGAATTGCAATTAAAAGTACCCAAATACATAAATTTCCTGCATACAGCATATTTACCGCCTGTAAATTGATAATATTTCCGCGCGTACATTTTTCTTCCCTTAGTTACAGCGTTTTAAAGGTTTGTGATTTAAAAAACTGTTTGCTGTAACTAGCCAAACACGTACTTATAGTAACTTTGGATAAAAAGTTTTCATTGCAAATGGTGACTGGCAGTTAAATAAATATATGTTTCAAAAATGGTAGCAATATCATGGATAGGTCAGACACTATATAATTTTTTCCCCCGAAATTAATAAAGTTTTTGGCTCTGGTGAACAATTGCAATATGTCTACTTACCCATCAAATGACATTCTACGTCGATATCATATTTATTAATATTTTTGCTCAATTTTCTATTTCTTTCCTAGCTATTTACAGTCATAAATACTATTTTCACAACACTACACTATCAGCACGCTATCTATTTTGACGGGAACACAATTTGACATAATTAAAAATGGCAGTAAAATAAATAAAAGATTTCAATACTTTAATATATACGAAATATCTCTAAATTAATTTATTATATATACTTATCTACCGGCAAATAGTTTTTACTTACAGCGTGTCCTTCGACGAAGGCCTCCTCTACATTTTTCCATTTTGTTCTCTTTTTTATATATAATAGGGGGCAAACGACCCGCTACCTTTTTATATCATCCTCCCATCTTATCTGCCTACATGTCTTTAATTTTCCATTAGACCACTAAATTATCAATAACACTGATTTAATATTGTCTCTGATTCTCTGGAGTAAAATTTAAAGAGAACGAATATGAACACGATATTATTTTCATTGGCGTTTCGAGTATTTTTTCGGGCTTTTCAAAAGTCGAAATACTGCTGTATGACATTATATGAAGAGTCTATTAAAAGACCGATTAATTATTATTATGCCAAAATAAATTACTAAGAGTATTTCTAATATAATATATTCAATAGGTTCACAATACAGCTTAGATACCACAAAACAGTGTATAAAAAATATGTAGTAGTATATTTTATTCCATCCACAGAAGTTACGAATCATATTCAAAAATTCATGGTTAATTAACTATAAAGGTTGTTACCACGACTATTGTTGCCCTAAAATAAGCTAAATTTAGACGAAAACTGCCCAACAGTACTATGTTTCTTGAAATTTGTTAAATTCGAGTGAACTTTATTTTATTATCAAGCTATCTAAGTACAACGGGTAACAAGTACTGATAAGCGAGAATTCAATGTAAACCATATCAACAGCTGTTGCATACAAAACGTATTAAATTGTACTATACTAGAGTCTGATAGGATTATGATTTTAATTAGCTGAGCAGAAGGCTTCTAAAACCCCTTCTTTGAGTGAATGTAATCTTGTCATTAGTAATTTATTACTTGTGGGGATTTACGGCGTTTGAACCAAAACTGTATATTAAAAAACTAATAAAAAAAACGTGTGTGTACTTATGTACACGCGTAAGAAGTTATACTTCTTTGACGTAACAAGATAAAAATCTTTTCAAAAAATTTATTCTACGTATGTAAAAACGACACTAACAATAGAAAAAATACCTGAAATACCTTTCATATATTAAAAGTTTCATTATAACGCATTATCTAGTTAAATAAAGTTTATTTAAATATCACAAAAAAACTAAAATGTTGACTATATCTGAAGTTATCAGGGTGTCGGGTTTTTGTGACGGTGTGCGCGCGCATCGTAAAAATTTACTCTCATAATTCTTCCCTAACGCGTCAAAATAAGTATAACATCTATATAAAGCGTGTCTTAACAATAACTTATCCTGGGACGATTTCCTATAACCCCTAGATGGGGCCGCAGTAAGTCTCCATCGCGTTTGGTCTTGAGCCTCATATTCCACCTCACTGGAAGTCTTTCCGGCTGTCTTTGCCTCATCTGTACGGCGCCAGGTTTGCCTGAGACGGCACACGCTTATGCTTTTAGCTTTAAAAAAATTTAATACTTAAAAAACCGTTCAGGTATTATTGTTATCAATATTATTAGATACTTATACAAAATATACCTCCCCAGATAGCACAGGTTGGGACGCCACTCTATGGCTGACGCGTGCACAGCTTGGAGGCCCTTCGGGCTTCGCCCCCGTGGCCGGTGTCTGCTCTAGAACCCGTTCGGCAGCTATAGATAGGGACGAAGGACTTACCAGCGCATTTGTCATCGCCCATGAGCTGGGACATTTGTAAGTACTTATAATAAATTCAGATTATTTTAGATACAGTATGAACTGATTATAACATCAACATTGTCACCTATCTATTATATATATAAATTATCGTAATTTGTTAAATTTGGTGTTTTTTCTTTCTGATCGTATAACGAAATATCTCTATAACGAATAAAAAGTCCCTTGAAATTCGTTATAAAGAATTTACACTGTAGTTCATAATACACGCATTATAAATAATATGTAATTTATTTTATCTGAACAACATTATCTATGTAGCGACACCAATTTGCGGCTACAAGTACGATGAGGTCATGCCCTAAAAGGCGCTAATTAAGTTGTTATTTAGCTTCTGGGGCCTTTAGGCCAGTGTGAAGACTGTTCGAGGATCCTTCATTCATCAAAGTAAAAGAGTTACCTTCCTTTCTCCACGGACAATTTAATCTTTTAGTTACAATATTTATAACTTAAGTGGCGCCACTTCTGTGGCGTCTCCAGACAGGCATAGACACACAAAACGCAACTCACAGCTAAACGAAATGTAATCTATGGTTAAGTATAATTGAAAATTTGACAATTAGAAGTTTTAAAGTTGATCGATTGATGTGTTTATTTCGAATTTCTATTAGGTTATCGTGCCGATATTATTATTAACAATTCCACGAACAAGACTATGGAATCCTTCTCGACAAAGCCGTAATGCACTTAATGTTTTTTGGTTGTCTTTTTAAGTTTGAAATTTTGTATTTTAAATGTGTGTACATTTGTCGGGCCCGCTAGTTAATAATAAATAAACGCAAAGTATTTTTTGAACCTTACCACGCGCCCTTTAAACGATTCACATTTCCTATAAGCAGCTGACATCCTGTTTACACACATTTGCGTTTTACTGTTCACAACACGTACACAATTTGCAAGTTAATCCACGAATAAATTCCGAAGGCAAGCTCACAGCTCCGTTCATAATAAGCCTCAAAGAGCTTCATCGTTTATTTATTTATAAAAGCTTTCCAGCGCTCGACACACTGATATATTGGTGCAAGAAAAATACAATTTTTAATGTGACAAGCGGCAAACATAACATGTACGAAGAGATAATAACAAAATTAAACTAGAGCAATGTTGGCCTAGTGGCTTCGGCGTGCGACTTAGTAAGGTCGTAAGTTCGACCCTTGGCTATGCATTTATGGACTTTCTTTCTATGTGCGCATTTTACATTCGCTCGAACGGTGAAGGAAAACATCGTGAGTAAACCGGCCTGACTTAGAACGAAAACGTCAACAGGCTGATCACCTACTTGCCTATTAGATGATCATGAAACAGATACAGAAATCTGAGGTCCAGACATAATAGTTGAAGCGCTACTGATTTATAAAGAAAACAATTGAATTACATATAAAAACTAAATGAAAATCGATTTCGAAGTCTAAATAGATCTCAATTTATCCATGAAGATCTTTTAAGTTGTTCATGGTTGAGATCTCGCCATGAGTCTGTTTTGTCATATAATTATATTAAAACTATATAAAACATTCTTTTGATAGTTTCAATTACATACGTATGCTTATATTTCATTCTGGGAAATTAGGAATATGTGTCACAGAATATTTGTAACAGTGGCTCGGGTTTCAAATGTGTAAAATAAAATTGTAATGATGCTTCCCACAGAGTGATTTATCAAATATTGTGGTTGATTTAAAAATGTATTATTAAATGTAGTGTCATAGCCTCTGGTGTAAAGGTGTGTCCCTTACTTCAGTGGGTTTCATTTGTTTTATTGAAAATAAGTAGTTTTTTTCTCTAAAAGATGATCATTGTTTTCTTTACAAGGATTAAGGGTTACTTGCTGAACTGTATAGAAAAATAATTTTAGTGGGTTTAAACTCAATATCTCAGAATCCCAGCTTACTACTAGGCAAATATTTTAATGTTAAGGCCGGAAACGCATTCGCGAGCGGCGGTATCACTTATCATCAGATAAGCCGTCTGCACTTCTGTACGTTTGTTTGGTTCTATAAAAAAACATGTATTTCATATTACACTTATCCTAACTGCTCAGTTTATTGTATACATGTATTATACATACTCAATTTTGTAATGCATGTTTAATAAAATAAATGCATAGCTCCAACTGATTAATATTAACTTGAAAATGTAATAAATATTGTGTACCAATTCAAATTGAAAATTATTTATTCATTTAGGTAACACAATGTACTTATGAACATCAATAAAGAATGCAATGCAGACATTGTATATAATTTCTTAAATTTTATTCTTATACTTACTCAGAATTTAATCATATAAATTTGATTTATTTTGAATCTTACCTACTATTGGCTCGGTACGATAAGTAATTAATCCTCTATTATAATTTTTTCCTTCATCCTTCTTTTTTCATTCACTTGTTTACACTTTACTCGTCATTCACATACACACACATTATCGTCAGATACATTTATTATTTTTCACTACCGCAGTATAGTTGTGTTATTTATTTTGTTGAAACTTGTTAATTTAATATTTATATAATTTCAGTTCTTTGTCTAGTTCTTAATATTTTTTTGTACTACTAGATTATTGAGCAGTTACTCTCCATCCATAAGGCTTTATACAAAACGTATTGTTCCATCATATGAACATAATTTTCAATATGCTTTCATGCATGTAATATGAATTGAGTATCATTTCCAGCAATTTGCCTCTTAATTAGTTTGAGAGGAAAGTTTGTCGTGCATATGGCTTCAGAGAGAATTATTATTGAAATGAACCTTTGCCTATGTAGATGTTTGTATATCATTATGTTACGCGCTGAAGAGCATATAGCTTTTTCTTTGTAACTCTATTTTATATTATAATCAATAGCTTCAAGATAGCTTGCTTGTCTTGTAGTGGTGTAATTCTTGCAGCTACACACAAACACTTGTGAAATATAATATATATAGTATTAAAAATAAATTAGTGGCGCTTGAACCTTTTTCGGTCTGGGCCTTAGATTACTGTATAGGTTTCATGATCATTTGTGGTAAATAGGCAAGTAGATGATCAGCCTTCGGTGCCTCACAAACACCGACTTTTGGCGTCAAAGTCAAGCCGGTTTCCTAACGATGTTTTCCTTCACCGTTCGAACGAATGTTATATGCGCATATAGAAATAATGTCCATTTGTGCACAGACCGGGATCGAACCTACGACCTCAGGTATGGGAGTCGCACGCTAAAGCCACTAGGCCAACACTGCTGTACATTGTATTAATATGAATAAATAATATTTTGATTTCATCATATTGAGGATAAATTCAAAGAAACTTTAACGATAAAATGCGACCACCGCTATTTTATTTTAAAAATGAATAAATGTTGTTATTATTACTGTTAATGTTTTGATATCAATGGCATATATTTCAAATAAAGCATTATTTTATGAAAGCATTAACTTATTGGCTTCTTACATTCTTCTCTTCTTATATAGTATAATATATATTTGTATATAATTCTACTGTGCGTGTGTGAACTCCTATTAAACGGCTGGACTGATTTGAATGAGCTTTTTGTATGGTTTAGATTCACAAATTAGCACGGTACGAGTATATGGCGCTCGAAAAATCATGCAGGACCACATCTGTCTGGTATTACGAAGTGAATCAAGAAATTATATATATTAATATAAATTTAATTAAAATAGAAATGACCCAGTTACATGCGGAAATCTATTTGTGATGCGTCAGATCTAAGATGCCGCAAGGTTAGGTTATATGTCGGTTATATATAATCTGATTGGATTTGTGCATTTGGGTCAATAGCTGGTCTACCAGCTGCCTTCAGTGGTATTTCCGTAATATTACAAGAGTCGGTTCTTCACGTTTCAACGTAATATTTTTAGTATATTGTTTTTACATCTTAAATTTATTTTAGTAAATAAAAAATGTAAATATTCTTTATATTATTTTAATGCCCCATCTAAAAAGAAGGTCGATCTTAGTATCCAAACAATCTTCACCTTCTTCTAAAAATAAGATTCATAATAATTGTTAAGCCGTTTTAACTGTCTAGTTAGTCATGTCCCTTTTCGACATATTTTAAGCACAATTTAACAGAAAGAAACTAAATAGTTTATGCATTAGGCTGTGGAATAAGAGTAGTATATATATATAGTAAGAGTAGAAAGGTGTGAGTATAAAGCTTTAAGTAATTTAAAATTACAATGAACTGACATTGGAAAAAGCAAATCCAAGCCAAAATTTTATTTAAACTACTAAATCGAAAACTATATTCAATCCATGTATCGAGTTCATTATTTAGCCATATCTCTTTTAACGTGGTAAAAGCGTTTGTTTTTATTTAAAGAATATATGGGAACGTCTAAAAAAAGTGTGTCTTTAAACACAGCCGTCTATTAGATTAGCCCAGCAAAAAACTTTCAGCATATAACAGCTAGTCACATCATTATCTATCTATCTATATCAGCACTTATAAAAATGGATGCTAAATCACTAAGTTTTCTTAAAAAATCTCTTACTCGAGATATCATTTTAAGACAATAATAATAATATACATAATAAAAAGCCATTTTCTTATAAATATTTTATTTATTTATAATGATGGGTATGAAGATCCTATGGTCTATTCTTTTTTTTTTCTTATAAATAGTTATTATAATTTCAATTTAAGATCCCTGTGCCAAGCTTAAAGCCCCTCCCCGCCCCGTATTCACCAAGGTCGTCAACGTCAAGGCAGAATACCATTCGTAACACCCTACATCCGTCGTGGTCGTTCCACAACTGAGCGTCTATTAAGGCGATTTTTGCCTCATACCACCACTATGTGGAACCAGCAGCCCACTGAAGTATTTCCGAACCAATTCGACTTAGGGTCCTTCAAGAAAAGAGCGTATTCATTCTTAAAAAGCCGGCAACGCACTCGTGAGCCCTCTGGTATTGGTGTACATGTCGGTATCATCGCCCGTTTGTCTTCTGTTCTTAAAAAAATAGGTTCTAAATTCCGTATCAAAGTAATCACGG